CTGTTCTTTCTCACCGCCCCCATAGGCTACCCCCTCCAGTCCGCCTGGGGCCTGTCCTTTCTCTCCCCACAGCCTGCACAGGACCTGTTCTCTCTCCCCCACCCCCCAGGTAAACCCCGCACTAAGGGCCTGTTCTTTTCCCCCGCTCTGGCATTGCAGCCAAGGTGCTGAGATGGGGGTGGGGGGACAAAAGGTTTGGGGCAGAAAGGCTACTTACCAGTGTGCTGGCAGGCAAGATAACAGCCCCAGCCTTGCTGGTCACTCCCTTCATGGTGAAGCTGCCCCCAGTGGCCACTCTCATATTGTGTCTCTCCAAACTACAGCCCCCTCCCCCCCTTTGGATGTTATGGAAAACTGTCCCTTTCCCAGGGCTTCTGGTTGTCCTGGCACAACCAAACCTTGCCCCGTTTACATTACGATAAGAGGATGCTGCATACCAAATGTGGTGGGTCTAGCTCTTACTGTTTAGGAGGAGTCCTTGAACAAATGGACTTGCAGACAGACACACAGACAGATAGATAGGCTGTGTCTAGAATCCACCTCTCTGTCGACAGAGAGATGTAGATTAGGCACTTTGAAATTGCTAATGAAGCAGGGATTTAAATATCCCATGCTTCATTAGAATAAACAGGACTGCCTTTTTTTCTAAATGGAGTTTTTTCGGAAAAAAACCAGCAGTCTAGACGCGGATCTGTCGAAAAATAAAACCTTTTTCGAAAGATCCTGTATTCCTCAAAAAATGAGGTTTACAGGATCTGTTGGAAAAGGGTTTATTTTTTGACAGATCCGGGTCTTGACTGTCTTTTTTTTAAAAAAAAGCTCCATTTAAAAAAAAAAAAAACGATGGTCATGTTTATGCTAATGAAGCACGGGATATTTAAATCCCTGCTTCATTAGCAATTTCAAAGTGCCTAATCTACATCTCTCTGTCGACAGAGGTGGAGTCGAGACGTAACCAAAGAGAGAAAGAGAGAGTATGGGAATAGATAGATAGATAGATAGATAGATAGATAGATAGATAGATAGATAGATAGATAGATATTGCATTGAGCAGGGTGAGCCGCGGGTCAGAAAGTTTGAGAACCACTGACCTTAAGAGGATGGGAGATTATTAAATGTGACCACTGGGGAACTGCCCATGGTTCAGGTCATCAGTGCAAACCACAGGAAATGTGGGTTAATATCCTGGTCTTATATTTTTCTTCACCGCCCTGGCAGCCTGGTGGGTCTCTCTGACTTTTAGCTCTCTGATACTGCCGAGTCATTAGACACTGAGTAAGACGAAGAACCTCCCATCATTCTGTAATGACTCTCTCTGCAGCACAGAACTGTTCAGCTCTGGCAAGTTTCACTGTAGTACAGAGCCAAGGTGTAGAGAAAAAAATGAGCATGTTGTTGGGCCAGGAAGTGAGGAAAATGAGACGATCTTTGGGAAGCCTATTCCCAGTAACATTGTCCAATAACTCATCTGCATCTAGAACCGAAAAGAAACGCAACCACTGAGGAAATTATTTTATTAAAGCTTAGAAATCTCAACTGATAAATCCTTAAAAAAATAGCAACCAAACCCCCCTCGGAGATCCAATTATACTAGCCACTTCTTATTTCACTGGAATACTTTGAAAAGTCCAGAAAATAATGTGTTTTGTTTTGCTCGACTTTCCCCCACTCCAATATCTTACGTAAAATATGAAAAATGTGTTCACGGGTTAATGTATTTTTTAATCCTTTAAGATTTGTTTCAAGATATTTCACTGTTGTCTTTTGTCACGGATCTGAGCGGAAGAGAGTTCAGAGCCATGGGAGACGTTCCAAAGACTCTGAAGCGCTTTGAATCAGGGGTAACATGAGCAAAGGGACAGAGAACATTTCTTGCCAGAGGTATCGCTGCATTGCTCCAGAGATTTTTCCAAGTGCTCCAAACAGAATTTCAAACACTGAGGCTAAGTCTACACTGGCACCCTTTTCCGGAAATGCTTCAACCAGAAAACTTTTCCATTATAAGCATTTTCGGAAAAAGCGCGTCTACATTGGCAGGATGCTTTTCTGGAAAAGCACTTTTTGCGGAAAAACATCCGTGCCAATGTAGACGCGCTTTTCCGCAAAAAAGCGCCCATCGCCATTTTCGCGATCGGGGCTTTTTTGCGGAAAAGAAATCTGGGCTGTCTACACTGGCCCTTTTCCGGAACAGTTTTCTGGAAAAGAACTTTTGCCCGAATGGTAGCAGCATAGTTTTTCCGGGAAAACACTGACGATTTTACATTAGATCGTCAGTGCTTTTCCGGAAATTCAAGGGGCCAGTTTAGACAGATGGCAAGTTATTCCGGAAAAGCGGCTGATTTTCCGGAATAAGTGGCCAGTGTAGACACAGCCTGAAGGTCTTTGAAAACCAGAAGAGATCTTAAAGGGCAAAACAGAGGATAGCGTATGATGTCATTTCCAAGCACTGATCGACAGGTAGAGATGCAACCCCAAAATAATATATCCAGAATGTGAGAGAGCGCAGACAGCTAATGCTTGTATCAATTCAGGGCCAGGTTAGTAAATCTCCATGGATCAGTGAAGGAATTATTTCTCTGTACAGGTTAAACCTCTCCAGTCCAGCGCCCTCGGGACATGACCGGTTTGGAACGAGAAAATTTTCCAGATCATGGGAAGTCAATATTGTCTAGCAGCATTACCAACACTGCCACTGCTTGCTGGGCTGTTAGAAGGCATTTAGGGGTAAATTAGAGCTAAATGACAGCACAAAACACTGAGAGCCAGGACTGGTGGCTGTAAAAAAACTTTATGGGACTGAGGGAACCTTGGAAACACCCATGAAAAGTGGCCATCGGGCTAGGTGAAGTTATTCCGGATTACGGGTGTTTCCGTACCAGAGAGTTCTAGACTAGAAAGGTTCAACCTGTAGCGTGAAAGCTAGTCCTGATAGTTGAAGCAAACATCTACTTACTGTGCAACCAAGTTTGTAGATCCCTGAGATGGGAAACAGACTTTGCAACAACATGTTCATTGAAGCTGCGGATCTTGCACTGAAGATTTCCAGGGACATTTAGTTTTAAGCAGTGTGGCCACTGCATTTATGTTAGCAATGAGCTGGTTGGACCAGACAGGTTTCGGAGCGGTAGCTGTGTTAGTCCGTTTCAGCAAAAACAATCAAGAGTCTGTTGGCACCTCAGGGTATGTCTACACTAGCTCGTTAGTTCGAGCTAGGTAGGCAAATGAGGGCAACCGGAGTTGCAAACGAAACCTGGGATTTAAATATCCCGGGCTTCATTTGCATGTTCCCGGGCGCCGCCATTTTTAAATCCCCCTTAGTCTGAACTCCGTGCCCGCAGCTACACGCGGCACGGAGTAGGTAGTTCGAATTAAAGATCCTAATTCGAACTACCGTTACTCCTCATTCCACAGGGAATAAGGAGTAACGGTAGTGGAATGAGGAGTAACGGTAGTTCGAATTAGGATCTTTAATTCGAACTACCTACTCCGTGCCGCGTGTAGCTGCGGGCACGGAGTTCAGACTAAGGGGGATTTAAAAATGGCGGCGCCCGGGAACATGCAAATGAAGCCCGGGATATTTAAATCCCAGGTTTCGTTTGCAACTCCGGTTGCCCTCATTTGCCTACCTAGCTCGAACTAACGAGCTAGTGTAGACATACCCTGAGGTGCCAACAGACTCTTGATTGTTTTTGCTGAAACGGACTAACACAGCTACCGCTCCGAAACCTGTCTGGTCCAACCAGCTCATTGCTAACATAAATGCAGTGGCCACACTGCTTAAAACTAAATGTCCCTGGAAATCTTCAGTGCAAGATCCGCAGCTTCAATGAACATGTTGTTGCAAAGTCTGTTTCCCATCTCAGGGATCTACAAACTTGGTTGCACAGTAAGTAGATGTTTGCTTCAACTATCAGGACTAACACAGAAACCTGCAGAGGAACATGTTAACCTGCCTGGCCATTCAGTTATGGATTTAAAAGTAACTCTCCTTCTACTAAGGAATTTCACCAGCCAGTTACAGAGGGAGTCTGCAGAACTGAAATTCATCTACAGACTGGACACCGTTACCCTGGGCTTGAATAAAAACATGAACTGGTTGGCACATGACACAGCCAATTTCTCCTGCCTTTAACATCTTGGAGAGGGTCCAGAGAAGAGCAATAAGAACGATTAAAGGTCTAGAGAATATGACCTATGAGGGAAGGCTGAAAGAATTGGGTTTGTTTAGTTTAGAAAAGAGAAGACTGAGGGGAGACAGGAGAGCCGTTTTCAGGTATCTAAAAGGGTGTCATGAGGAGGAGGAAGAAAACTTGCTCATCTTGGCCTCTGGGGATAGAACAAGAAGCAATGGGCTTAAACTGCAGCAAGGGCGGTTGAGGCTGGACATTAGGAAAAAGTTCCTACCTGTCAGGGTGGTCAAACACTGGAATAAATTGCCCAGGGAGGTTGTGGAATCCCCATCCCTGGAGATATTTAAGAGTAGGTTAGATAAATGTCTATCAGGGATGGTCTAGTCAGTATTTGGTCCTGCCATGGGGGCAGGGGACTGGACTCGATGACCTCCCGAGGTCCCTTCCAGTCCTAGTGTTCTATGATACTATGATCTGCATTTCCACATCAAAAGCTATGAATGGGACACACCCAGCCCACTTCATTAGCCTCATTAACACGGATCCTACAATGGACAGGTCTTACTTCTGGTGTTGCATATCTCTTGGTTTCACCACTCCAGCTCATCTGAGGAAGTGGGTTTTGCCCACGAAAGCTCATGATTCCGAGTATTTTGGTTCCTCTCTAAGGTGCCACAGGACCACTTGTTTTTAAAGTTACAGGCTAACATGGCTACCTCTCGGAAATGTATCAGGGCATAAGCTTTTGTGAGCTACAGCTCCCTTTCTCAGATGCTTGCAGTGAAAGAAAGACAGGGGTACAGAGGTGGGAGTGTAACTGTGTCCAGGAGATGGGTGGGGGGTGCGAGGGGTCATGCGCTCCCCATAACCGTGTCCAGGGGGATGCATGGGGGGTGCGAGGGGTCATGCGCTCCCCCAATACCATGGGTGGGAGGAGCCAGCCAGCAGCCGGTGGAGGGTTAACAGGGGGCTGTCACCTGCAGGAACCATCCACCCCCCTCCCGCTCACCAGCAGCAGCAGGGGAAGCGGAGCAAGTTGGCCCCATTGCTTTGCTCTCCCGGTCACACTGCTCCATGGAAAGGGGGCAGGACTGGTAAATGTCTGAGCCTTTCCGGTGCTGCCCGACTCCTGGCTGTATTTGGACTAGACGCTTATTTTGGGTGGGGCCGTCACACCTGTGGCAGGGTCCCCCTCCGGAGTCCCGCCTGTGCGCCGTCTCTCATGCCCACGTGGCAAAGCGTTCGTGGCTCAGCCGTATTTGCGCACAGGAGGGCTGAAAGGCCCAGGACACACTTTGCCACGGGAGGGAAACGTGCCCCGGGCAGAAGGCCAGCGCCAGACCCATGTATGACTTCACCTTCGCGGCTTTTCCCCTCTAATCCCTGCAGAATTGAAAGGACAGCGACACTAACAGACCCAGCACCCTCCCCGCTGTGGAGCGCTTCAGAAGCCCATGTTCCCCCGAGCGAGGGAATAGCCCAGTTTGTTGCGGTTCCCAATGAAAGACACTAAACCCATATAGGTGTCGATGAGGAGGGGCTGGTTCAGGACCGCGACGCTGCTGGTCTTGCCCGGCGCCGGGTTCTTGCTCTGGGCGCTCTGAACGGCCTGGACCAACTGAGCAGTGAACTCGGACATCTACGGAGGGAAGGAGATGACAAGAGTGAGGATTAAGTGAAGGCCTAAGGAACCAGCTGCGTGTTGTCTTTGGCCTCCTTCCTCCATGTTGCAGGGGCTGAGAGGGAAGCAACCCGCCTCAGACGTGCAGCGGGCGCTCAGCTGTCGGCAGCAAATAATCCATGTAATTGAATCCTCCTCAGTATGCGCTGGATGCGTATGTGCAGGCATCTCCTCTTGTCCCTCAGCCACCCCCACCCCCACAACACAGGAAAGCATTTGACATGGTCTCGCACGACCTCCTTATCAATAAACTGGGAAATACAACCTAGACGGGGCTACTATAAGGTGGGTGCAGAACTGGCTGGAGAACCGTTCTCAGAGGGTAGTTATTAACAGTTCACAGCCATAGCGGAAGGGCAGAACAAGTGGGGTTCTGCAGGGGTCTGTTTTAGGGCCGGTTCTGTTCAATATCTTCAACGATATAGATATTGGCATAGAACTGGGGTGTCCAACACACTAGCCACTGGCCACATGTGGCTATTTGGCCAGTTGAGTGTGACTAGTTCATTATAGCAGGATCCACTATAGAAGCTACTGCTTCAGAACTGGTTGGACACCCCAGGCATAGAGAGCACGCTTATTAAGTTTGCAGATGATACTAAGATGGGAGAGGTTGCAAGTGCTTTGGAGGAGAGGGTCGTAATTCAAACAATCTGGACAAACTGGAGGAATGGTCTGAGGTCAATAGGATGAGATTTACCAATTGAGCAAAAACCCCTCTGTTCTTTCAAGTTACTGTTGATTTAGTGCCGTAAGAACGCGCTTGCAGTATGGACATCACTGGAGTTTTTTTCAGAAAAACACCTGTTTTTCCAAAAAAACTCTGCAGTGTAGACATAGCCCCCGACAGGAAGTTTTTCCTAATGTCCAACCTAAACTTCCCTTGTTTCACTTTAAGCCCATTGCTTCTTGTCCTAGCATCAGAGGCCAAGGAGAACAATTTTTCTACCTCCCCCTTGTACCACCCTTTTAAATACTTGAAAGCTGCTATCCTGTCCACTCTCTGTCTTTTCTTTTCTAAATCAAATAAGCCTCGTTCTTTCCATCTTCCCTCATCGCTCATGTTCTTTTGACGTTTCATCATTTTTGTTGCTCTTCTCTGGATCTTCTCCAATTTTTCCACAACTTTCTTAAAATGTGGTACCCGTTGTGTGAAAACACAAAACAGCACAACAGGCACACCACACTGGGAGGCAGGGATGGGGGGAGGGCGCTGAACCTGCAGTTGGCTGGTGGGGCCACAGGAGCTCATGGGGCCATGGGCAGAGGTGCCAGGTAGCTGGGGAGGGGAGCCCAGCAGAAAGACTGCACCCTCCCTCCAACCTCCCTGATCTGGAAAACTCCCTTGTCCGGGATTGATCAGGTCCTGAGGGAGCCGGACCAGAGAGATCCAACCTGTAATGAACAATCTAGAAGTCTAATTTGTGTAATATACATGCTACTCATATAGCATTTGCAGAGCAGGGTCGTCTGTTGTTATTCCACTGGGAAATGCACCCGCTTTGGTTTCTCAATTATACTCCAGTTCCTCTGATGAGGGAGTTTTTGCCCACAAAAGCTCATGAGTCTACATATTTGGGTCAGTCTCTAAGGTGCTACAGGACCATTTGTTTTGAGAACGAGACTAGTTCCGGAAGAAGTTCTCTCAGGATGAGTCTACACTGCACCCGGAGCTGGAAATGAGCTACGCAACTGGCGTAGCGTCTTTCGAGTCAATTTTGAAATAGCGTATGTCATACTCTGGCACGCTCTCCCCAGTGCCAAATTTCGAAATAACCCGCTGTTCCAAACCATCCCTTCCTCCTCATGGAATGAGGGTTACAGGGACGTCGGACTAGCAAGCCCGTCGTATTTCGAAATAACGGGCTTGCTGGGAAGATGCGGGATAGCGCTGCAGTGTAGACGTAGCCTCAGTGTATGGCTATTACTGAAGGCAAGATTAAAAAAGGGGGACAGTTAAGAAATGGAGGCCCCAGACAAACATGCCTTCCACCTCCACAGCCTTTCCCCTGCCGTCCAGAGAACTCCTGCTCCCTACCTGGCAGGCGGCACGGAACCCTTCGCTGCTGCCCTTCACCGGATGCTCTGTGAAAGTTGCATAAGGGATATCCACGGCCCATGGGTTCCAACGGGACAGGACAGACGGCTCCTTCAGGTTGTCCCAGTAGATTCGCAGGCCTTCTCCCTCTCTCCTAGAGAATGAGCAACGCAGACAGAAAATGGCATATTATACGGGGCTGCTCATAACAGAAGAGCTAGCAACCACTGGCACAGGTCCATGTTCTGGCTAAGGGGGGATTCGATCACAGGCTATCATAGCTATCTGAGGAACAAATATGTAGTGACGGGTTCTTTCCGTGAGCTGAGAAAGGTCTAACACGCTCCTGCAGTTGGGAGTTCAAGCCGGACAAAGGCAGACTGAGAATAAGGCGTTCATTTTGGACAGGGAGAGCAAGTAACCAGGGGACCCATTTACCAAGGGTCCTGGTGGATTCTGCATCACTGACAATTTCTAAATTAAATGTGGATATTTCCCTGCTTTAGGGACTACTGTGGGGGAGGTTGCTGGCCGGTGTTCTACAGGAAAGCAGACAGCGTGATCGCAGTGGTCCCTTCTGGCCTTGGAATCGCTGAATCGGAGGGTCAAAGGGCATGATATGAACAACCCGAGTCTCTAAGGAGTTTTTAACATCGCCCAGTCCTGGTGCCTGGGGGGTTCCTTTACGTGGCAGACTGGCTAGGCTTGTAGACCCCACCATGCACAGCTGGGTCCTAAGTCTTTGTAGGAGTCAGAAAACCCTGTGTTCTAATCATCCCCGAGAGGTGCTATCTGGGGGGAACGGTCCCAAACAAGAGACTTCACGGTTTCTGCTGCATGCTTCCAAAACGCCCTCCGACTTCACTACACTTCAGCGCAGCGAGAAGCGCTTGACCATTTTCTTCTCCCCTATTGTCTCTGTTTATAACGTCAGGGCGCCCAGCGCTGAGAATCATTGGTCAGGGTCAACGATTAGCTTTCAGAACACGCGTCCCGGTAATCATAGCCCTCCTCTTGGGCAAATCGGGAGGGAAGGCAAAAAACGACGCCCCTCACCGAAGCAGGCACCCCAACGCCCTCCGACGCCAGGATTTGAAACGCCTTGTTTTGCAAAACTAGAACAGCCGAAAATCACCCCTTGCATCCGAGCAGAAGTTGCTGGTGTTCCCCCAGCGTTCGGCTGGGGCAGTCCGGTGGCGAGCCGGGCGGGCGTGTTAATGAGAGGTCTGGTTTTATATGTCGAGGCGCTTAAGCACAGGCCTGCAGTCCAAGCATGTACTCCAAGTTAATAATGCGCTTACACGCTTTGCTGAAGCAGGGCCTGTAGGGATACTAACGGGATGGGCAGCGCTGTCGGGGCCAGCCGCCACCTCTGCACCCCTCTCTTGAACAGCGGCGCTGACAATTCCTCCCTCAGCTGGCAGCAGTGGCAGTCAGAGCCCTGGGTCCTTTAAATCGCCACCGGAGCACCACGCTGTGCAGCTCTGAGGACTGTGGGTGCACATCACACCCCGGGCGGCTCACAGGGCTGGCTGCCCCAGCCCCCCCCCCCCCCCCCGAG